AATCTATCAAATTAAAATATAATCTAGCACAGATAATAAAAAATGCAAAGCGTAACTGTATTAACAACGTCTGCTGCATAGCTAATAACTGCAACAACAACAACAATAAAGTAGTTCATTCGTTATGCAAAAGGCAGCAAAAAACGCTTCCCACGCAAAGCGCGCGATAATAACAACAACAATGTTGAATTGTGTTTAATAAAATGTATTCCATCGCATTTAATGTGTTTTAAATGACGGAAAAACATTTAAGACTGTTTTTTTTTTCATGCAAAATACGCGCACAAAATTTTCATTAGTTTTCTCGCATATTTTAGAGTTTTTCGGCGTAAAAGTTGTTGACAAGGGGAAAAGACACACTGACTGCCAATTAAAAAATTAAAATTAAAAAACGAAAATAAACGCACAAAAAGCAAACAAAAAGGAAATGATACAAAAACAAAAACGAATTTAATAAGTGTTAAATTGTAACTAAAATAAATGCAACAAAAAACTGAAATCGGAAATTTGAAATTTGAAAAGCGCAAAGCCTTTGAGTTTTTAATCTGCTATAAATAACAAAAGGAGCTAAAGCAACGCGTTAAAAGTCGAAAAGGTAAATAGTCTTAATATACATACATACATACATAAATGCATATATTTATGAAAGAATTTCATGTTTTTATGAATATGTAATATATTGCCCTAAAAATACCTAAATACTAACGAGAGAAATAGATGAATACTCACATCAGCTGGTTCTACGTAACCGGAATGAACCCGAATTATAGATTATATACAAAAAATATACATAACTGTCACTTCAGCAGCATTTTTCCATAATATACAACATATAAAGTACTACAACAGCAAGAAGTGCATTAAGATTCTAAAATAAACCCCAAAGCATCTTAAAGTCGGCTATACACTCAAGTTCAAATTTGACACGATTTGTTTACAAGGCGCACAGTTTATCTGGCGCTTTTTATATTATATATATATTGGGTCAATGGACTCATGGTGTGTTTCCCGAAGCGAATTTCGCAGTTTTGAAAACCGAAAAAAGTCGCAGGGAGTAAAATCTGGCGAAGCATTAACTCTCGTGTTTGGTTGCAACTTCAATCACAATCATGCTAGAATATGACGGCGCATTCAATTCCTTTGGTATGAGTCTAGCATTGGCACGCTTTATACCCAAAACATTAACCGAAACAGTTGAGTCGTTCCATAAGAGATGTTAAACGCTTTATACCCAAAACATTAACCGAAATAATTGAGTCGATCCATAAGAGATGTTGAAAACATCTGGTATATCTCGGATGCCTACACGACAATTTTCAAGCACTGTTATTTCAACTTTTTCGATGTTATTGTCAGTAACAGAGAATGATGGACGGCTCACATTCGCATGCGACAAGTTTTCAATGACTTTACGACCTTCACTGAATGCTTTGTGCCACCCAAATAATTGTATTCTTGTTAAAGTAGGCTCACCAAAACACTTCTGCAACATTTGTTGTTGAATTTTTTAAATTTTTTCCCAATATCGCTAAATATTGCCACTCAAACCAGATTGACATATGTAGTACAAACTTTACACGAATCTAAAAAGTTTTTACCAATTTAGGTTAAAAAAATTGTAATGATTCGGTTTGCGCGCGCAGTATTAAAGGACCAGTCCGGGTCAAATTTGATCTTGAGGTATGAGTACTATAAAAAAAAAAATCTATGTTTATCTATTATTTCAAACTATAATCCCTATAATGAGTTTTATCTTCCATCTTTGCTGGCGTACGAAAATCGAAGGCATTTGAACCAAATCCGATCAATGAACGATCGATCAATGTCGAAAATCTAAGGCAACTCCTAATAGGTGCCTTTTTCACCTACTACATTCCCAATCTACAGTTAATGAAAACACGAAAATACACGTTTAGGGTAGAGAAAATATGTAACATGGAATACTGATAAAAGATTTTTGTAAAGTGCCTATAATAAAAGCATGTTTCATATTTAGTAAAAAATATTTAATAAAATATATTCGAAAATCCGAGAACTCTTTCGTTATACTCGCTTTGTATAGGCAGTAGGAGAGGTTTTACGCCACCCGCGCAATTCCAGGACTCGTTACACTACAACCTTTTCATCGCAATCACACCGTGGGATATGCTCTCGCATACATCAAAGTATGCACCCTCTTTGCTGGCTTCACATGGATTATAAAAAAGCAAAAAGGTTGAAAGCAACGTAGATGAAGTGTGCATAGAGCCAAAAAGATGCACACAAACAAACAAGTGTACGCGTGTGTGTGTGTGTATGAATGTAGATTCGACCTAACGCTCTAGAATGATGAGACATAGATGAAATTAAGTAGAAAAAAGAACGAAAATGCTGAGGCAGCTAGAAAAAATTGGGAGGACAACAACAAGTCAACGTATTAACAGATATCTACATAGATATATCTGTATGTACGTATGCATGCGTGAATGTGTAGATCTGTGTATGGATATGCGTTTGTTGGCATATACGAGCGACAAGAACGCAGCGAGGCGATAAACGATTCAAATTACAATAATAAAAAATATATATACAATACATACGTATATCGACAACAACAGTAAAGACATCATTAGCAGTGTTTTAGAATGTTGTTGTTGTGCTTTGCTGCAGAGCCAAGAGCAATTGCTGTTAAACATTTTATTATACCACTATGCATATGTTTGTGTGTGTGTGTGTGTGTCATACTTTGGAATTCCGCTAGCCAGCGGCGTCCAAATCACCGCGACCTGGGCTATGCACCATGCGCTTCACATTAATTTGAGCAGCTCGAATTTAAAGACCTGACAGCCAAACAAGCGCAACCCGAACGCAGCGGCCTTTGTCGGCTAAAATTTTGCCCCGCATTAGAAGTTGATACTTGGGGATTTTTTATACATTTGATAGTAGTGATTTCTTGGGAGTCCAACGTTTGCTGTGTAACAACAACAACGACTGCAAGCACATGCTTCTAATTCCACTTCTTCACTTGGCATGATAAAGTCTGTTGTATTTTCGTTGTTGCCACAATTCGTTGCTTCTGTGCATTTACTGCTTCTTCAATCCCAGTAACTGCGTATGAACGTGTGTGCATTTGCTGTGCCAGTAATTTTTTACTCATTTTTTCACACCATACTTTCTTGATGTACGATTGTACAAGCATACATATGTATCTATGTTTATTTTTATCGTACTATTTTTCATTCCCTTTCCATCTCAGTTCTGCGTTCATACACCCATACATACATATGTATGCATTTAGTAACTTGTATGCTATGCACATGGGCTCAAGCGTCCACCGTCACCATCCCCAACATCATCGGTGTCGTATGTTGCCATTCGTTAGACGGTTGGTTGCTTCGTTCCACATTGTCGTGTGTCAGCTCATGCGCTTGACGGTTTGTCGTCGAAAACTCGCAGGTCGGCTTTTATCGACCGACGGCTAACGGCCGACAATAAGCAGCTACATTTAACATTATTTCTTATTTTTCTTATCACCATTGTTGTTGTAGTTTGTCATATTCGTGCATCGCTAACATAAAAGCGTTTCTACTGCTGTTACACTTACTACGAAACACGATAAGGACGATGATATAACATCAATTTAAATCGCCTTTCTAGTATAACATTCTCAAAAGGACCTTCCTATGTTAATATGCCAACTTATGTGAATTTCATACGTTTATTTACATACATACATACATAGATATGTACATGTATCATTATATTTTTATTTTCTCCTCTTTCATTCATATCGAATTCCCGTTTTATTTTCATCCTTTCACAAGCGCAATTCACATGCAGCTGCCTTTACAACTTGGTCCTACTCACATTAACAGAATTTCTTTCTTTAACATTGCGTTGCTAACCGCGCTGTCGACGTCGCTGTTAACGTCTTTATTATCCCACGGCTACATTTGTTCTCACTCGCCTGCAATGTATTGTTGGCGCTCAATTTTCGCCAAGTTTAGGAATCTCTCTTTCCACAAGTGTTAAAATGTACACGTGTATGTATATATATATACGTTTGTGTGTGTGTAGAAGATTTTGTCTTCCCATCTTTTGGTAACGAGAGAGTGAAACAATCTTTTTTAGCTATAATATCCTAAAAGGTTTTAACCGAGCTCACAAAAAATCATCAAATTTTGCACCAACTGACCCTTGGCACCTCTGTAAAATAAGATAATGCATTGGACAACTTCGGTACAGCTTCAGACATAAATACATATAGGTATTTCATATGTATATATAAATTCCTCGAGTACATTAAATTTGTGGTTTAAAGTCGGCAAATTTGTAAAACAGTTAAGAACCATTTGTGATTTTGGCTTCACAAGCTCCTTCAGATAATAATGCCTTTCTCCTCCGATCACTTAGTCTCTAATACGGGGAAGCGACATTGATACGAATTGAGGTTTGGTTTGAGTGCCTCAACTGTATTAATGATATAAACGAGTGGTCTTTTGTAGCGAGCATATTGGCTTAATAGTGAAGAAGTAGTTGAAACGTTCTTAGTAATAAATATGTCTTTTCAGCAAAAATATTAAATTCATATATAAATAATTTTGTATCTGTAGCACTATCGATTTCCGATAGAAAAATGCCGCGCGGCATCTGTGGGTTGCTTATGTGTGCGCGCCATCTACTGTTAATGCGCGCAAACGCGCAATCAGCTGTTTGTAAACACTCGCGGGTAAATGGCTTGGGGAAAAGCAATAAAAAAGTAAAAAAGTTAATTTGTATAAAAGCGCATTCGTTTAGCAAAACAAAAAGAAATTGTTAATGAAAACAAATTAAAAATCAAATAGAAACAAATACAATAGAAAGCATGTCTTGATAGTTGCGTGCTTTTGTGACCACCATGAGTGATAGGTGTGTGTAAATGCAGTGCAGTGAACGGGCGTAGCCAACCAGTATAATAGTATCTTGTACATTTTTTTTTAATATATTGTATTATAATATTTTATATTTCGTTTTCGTTACAGTGGTGTCGTGATATCACTAAGCAGCACAGACTCTAGCACTGGTTGCAGCGAAGATGCTTCGGAGCCGGGATCGCCATTTAGCCAGAACTCAATAATAGGCGACGAACAACATAGCAACTCGCCCGCCAAGGCCAATAAAAGCAGCGCTGAAAATCATACAATCATGCCACCACAGACTACAATACTGGCTGCGGCGAATAACAGTAACAACAGCGGACAGGCTGCCAGTAATAGTGCGAATGGATCGACCAGCGGCGCTAGCGGTTATACCCAAACTGTCACAGGAACAAATAGCAATAACAGCAACAACACTGCCAAATTAAAACAAATACAACAACAACAACAAAAGAACAATAACACTGCCACTGTCCGCAATGGACTCCCTACTCTTCAATGGCCGTGGAACACACCGGCAAGTAGTAGTACTGCACACACCATAAACACATCTGCATCTATACAAAACAGTAAGAAACGCGGTGCCGTTAGTGCGACCACCGCAGACAATAGCTCAGGTAAAAAGGCACGAAACGCAAGTGCTGATAGTACAACAAATGCTGCAACCGCGGTGCCAACTGGCAACGCATCTGGAGCCAGTGCTGCAAAAAGACTGAAAGCGGCGGCATTAGAGGAGTCGCAAACAAAAATCACCGGTTACTTCAAGTCACAAATGAAGTCTCAAATTCATCAAAATAACATTACAAAGCGTAATATGGAATCTGTACTGATTGCCGCATGTAGCTCATCGAGCACGGGTCTCAACACCACTTCGCTTACGATGAGTGCGCCCGCCACCACAGCATCACTAAATAAATATTTCAACATTTTAGAGCAGTTAAAGGAAAATAGCCACAATAACGGCAGCGGAAGTAGCAATAGTAATGTTACTATTACAAAGCCAACGCTAGTTGCTTCATCATCATCCATAAATAGTAGTATAATTGCTGCGGCACCACCTACGCCGACCTCCATTGCTACAGCCTCTTCCACCTATGTTACACCAGCGTCCGGATCGGGCGGCGTCATTGCATTGACTACAGCTACTGCCATGCCCTCCATGCCTGTGCCTGCTTTGAAGAAAATCGAACGCAGCAAACCAACGAAAATAGCGCAGGTCGCACCGAATTTACGGAAAACCCCTTCTACTTCAGGCAACTACAGCGGTGCAACAGGCAAATCCCCAGCAAAAAAACATGTCGCAATAGCGCCGAGAACACCTGAAATGAAACAACAACAAATGCAACAGCAGCAGCAACAAGCGGCAGCGAAGGCCGAAGCAGCGGCAGCCAAACAAACAAGCACAGCGGCAAGCTCACAACAGTCCCAAAATGCAACGCAAGTAACTGCAAATCAGCCAGCAGTTCTACTTACTGCCATACGTTTGCCTACTCAAACTACAACGGCACCGACACCGACGGCATCCGCGCAACTGAAACAGACTGTATCACCACCGAAATTAACACCGGTTGCAACCGCTACTGCGACAACCACAAGCGCTGCGCCTGCCACCGGACAAACGCTTTATCAACTGCCAGCTGTGCAACTGCCGAATTTAGTCCAACTGCCTCAGCTGTTAGCTGCCACCAATGGCGCTAATATAATGCAGTTGAACAACGTGGCCACGGCCGCGAAAAACGCCAATCCTACAGCGTCCGCCGCAGCCGCTGCTACATCAGCGCAGGCAGCACAAGCTGCTGCCGCGCAATATTTTCTTAATGGCACTGTCTTCAAACTGCAGCAGTTCACAACAGCGACTACCACGACGGCAACGTCTGCTGTAGCTGCCGCAAGCGCTGCAGCAACAGCGAATCCATTCAACTTGATGACTGCGGCCGACCTCCAAGAAATACTCATTAAGCAGCAGCAACAGCTTCAACAACAGCAACAACTGCAATTGCAACAACAACAGAAAGCGGCTGCTGTAGCCGCCGCAGCAGCGGCGTCAGCCACTGCCCAAGCTACTAATACAAGTTTCCAAGAGATCTTCCAGCAGCAAATTGCCGCTGCTATTGCGGCAAATCAACAGCAACAACAGCAGCAGCAATTTCAACAGTTGCAACGCTTGGGCGCCGCCGCTGCGCAACCGGTATTCATGGCCACTCCGGCGGGGCTTCTGTTGAACGCCGCTTCACTGCCAGCTATGTTGGCGCAAGCGGCCGCTGCTTTAGCCGTCAATAACAATCAGCAACAACAAAAACAAATGCAAATGCAGCAGCCGCATCCACAGCAGCTGCCGGCACTCCAGCCAATACAATCCAGCGCGTTGCCTGCGCTAAGTTCCATTTTCGCTAGTGCAGCGCAGCAACAACAGCAAACGCACTCCTCACACGATCAGCATACAGACTTCCAGCAGCAGCAGCAACAACTGCTAGCATTTTTGCAACAACAACAACAGCAGCAGCAACCACAATTCATAACAACAAGCCAACCACCACCGTTATCGGCTGTAAATTCAACTTCGCCGCAAACTGCAACTGCCGCTGCTACTCTAACGCCACTGCCAATAAATGCATCTTCAACCGCAACTCCTGCAAATAACGCAAACACTGCCAAACTGGCCATAGTAAAAGCGACTACTGCCGCCACACAACCGCAACAGTTTGCCGCGCTCAATTCGCAACCGCCGCCATTGGTCACCATTTCGCACGGCAAAGCACGCGCTACTGCAATCGCACCGGCAACTGCCACCAGCGCCGCTACCAATGCTATTGCAACGACGAGCAAACCGGCCGCATTGGCTAAGCCATATCAAAAGCGCATGCCGAAGGTGGCGCCAGCGCCTGTGCCAGTAGCGCCAGCACCGAGCAAATCTGCGCTGACGAGCGCCAAAGCGAAAATTTCCACTGGTTGCAAAATCATTGCCACACCCACCACGCCGCCGCCGCTAGTGCCAGCGCTCAGCAGCAATAACAGTAGTGTTGTTAGCACCGTTGCCTCTGCACCGAGCAGTCGTAGCGCTCCAGTGGCGAAGCAACTGCTACCGACCGGTGGACTGCCTACGCCTGCGCTCATAAGCATTGCACCAGCACCTGCGACAATCACAACAACAACCACTGCAGCAATTAGCGCAGCGACAGTACCGAGTGCCATGAAAATATCGGCTTTGCCGCCGCTTGCGCCCAAGCTAACGCCGGTCGCCGCATCGATAACAACAACAGCAGTGTCATTCAGCGCGGTAATGCCAACGGCAGCGAAGGCAATAGTCGCGAGCGCTGCCGTCTCAGCGACAACAAGCACAACATGTACTCCAGATCTCTTCGATTTAGTAAAAAATTCGAATGGCGCCATCACTATATCAGCACCATCCACTATTTGTAACAGCAATAACAACAAATGTCACAACAATACTTTCAATAAGTGTGCAGCGCTACTGCCATCATTCTGCCACTCATCGCTGTCATCATATTCAACTGCATCATCGCCCTCTCTCTGCTCCTCCACACATGCCGTCTCCAGCGATGGCTTTTGCTCGAAGATCAAAGAGGAGCCGTTGGACGAAGTGGCCAATGCGCCCTCAGCCAACACTTCGGACAGTGGTATCAAATTGGAGAGCTTTAATACGTCCACGCATAGTCAAATGTTATCGGCAGATATTAAGGTCGAACTAATGGAGGACACAACCAAAATGTACCCCTCAACCGTCAATAGTATTTCGACAAGCATTGCTAACGGCATCACGCACGCGAATGATTATTCATCGTATTCCTTCAGCTCACACTCGAATTCGGTCTCCTCGGCCGCTGATCTTTCACTAGAAGCATCTACCCCACCGTCGCTCTCTTCCCTGTCCGCTTCTTGCTCCTCCGCACCGTCGCCGGTACCTTCCTCATCGGCGGGTGCATCACCGCGTAATTCGCCGCCTCCATTGCCGCCAACACAACCATGCGAATCCAATTCAGCTTCCCTAAGCTCCGAATCCTCCGCTTCGTGTGTTACGGCCGCTACTGGCAGAGATATGCTCAGCGAGATGGTTACATCGTCATGCATATCATCAAATCTCGCTTCGGAAATGTCGAATTCGGCTGATGGCTCAACCATACATGCGAAGTCACTTACGTCCGGCCTCGAAGATGTCGAGAAAGATGTCAGCGCGGATGAGGAGAGCAGCGAAAAGCGTGACTTGCCCACGCCAGAGTCCGGTATAGGTGGCAGTTTGACGGCTAGTGAAAGCAGCGAATCCATCGTTAGCACAATGTAAGTTGCCACATAAACTTTAAGCCGTGCATTTACTAATATATATAAAATATTTTCATTTTAGTTCCAACAACAGCAGTAAAGCTGAAATTATCGCCAACATTATCAATTCAATCGACTCAAATTCACCGCCACCCACGCCACTGTCTACGATTAGTGCTAGCAGCACAGAAAGCGGCAGTCACATTAGCAGTTGCATGCGTAACGCCATTGCTGACATCAATTCCAATAGCAGCAATGCAGCATCGCCACTCTCATCATCATCAATAACTAGCAGCGCTGATTTAATCACCAATTCTACCTCCAATAGTGCCGTACCCACTGCACCGAGTTTGTCGAATAGCATCGATAACAGTAACTCGAATAGCTGCACAAGCAGCAGCAACAGCAGTGTCAGCGGCGAGCCGCAATCGACCACCAGCAGCAATTGCTTCAACTCATCACCGACGCTTATCGACACCAAGCTTGCGGAATCCGCCAGTGAAGCGTTGCCCAAATGCGCCATTTCGCCCATACTCTCACAGCCGAAAACTATACGCTTTCCTGCGGAGACAGGTGGTTTTCGGTATGGTCCAAAAGGTGCTAAACGCCACGACGGCGTCTGCTACTGGGATAAATGCAATAAGAAGCATGATAGCTGCTCCAAATTGTTGGATCATATGCAGACTCTGCACGTCAATACGCAAACTGGTCCATTTTCATGCCTATGGGTCGGCTGCAAGGTGTACAATAAGGAATCGTGCTCGCGTCGCTGGTTGGAACGACACGTGCTATCACATGGAGGCTCGAAACAATTCAAATGCATTGTTGAAGGTTGCGGCTTGCGTTTCGGTTCGCAGGTAAATTATCGCTGGCATTTCGTTGCCATCACACGCCTTGTATATATTCATTACTTTGCTAACTTAATCTGCTTTCATTTTTAGTTGGCTCTTCAAAAACACGTAAACAATCATTTTACGGCCACCGAAAATAAGGAGAGCTCCAATAAGCGTACCTCGGATCCGCCAGTGCCCAAACAGTTGCGTAAGAATGGCAAAAAGTTGCGCTATCGACGTCAACCATTTTCAGGTAATTATACATAGATATCCATTGACTGTATACACACTGAGATTATGCGACAATAAATAACGGCGCTTCGTTCCTTACGGTACATTTTATTAATAGTGTAATTCTTCTCTTGCAGCGCGTATGTTCGACTTCTTTGATTCCGGCATAATGGAGGGTCTTCAACATCGTCTGCGGCAAATAAGTGTACTCTCGAACGCTTGCAACACAATGACGTTTCAGGGTCAGTGCATGATGCGTCGCAAAACACAGCAAGGCAGTTACGAAAGCTTTGTTCGTTGGTCACCGCATGAAATGTGAGTAATCAAAACGTAAATTGATTAAAATAAAGCTTATTATTAACTTATTTCGACTTCAATTTTTAGCATTTCCGACGAGTGGGTGCCGGCTTGCGATGGGCCTTACACGAAAACAGTTAACATTAAACGTATGCGTCCCGCGGAGAAGATAAAGGTTGAGAGTCTACTCATGACCGCTTACAAATTGCCATATTCGACAAATCTTTTCGACGACGTTAGCGATGAAGATGATGATGATGAGGAGGCCTCTGATGATGGCGATGAAGATGATGATAATAGTATGTTTCAACATAAATAGCTTCGTTGTAGCATTTATGAATAATCTATATACATATATATTTATGTACATTTATGTAACAAAACCCCTTTTTTTTTTTGTTATAATTTCTTCTTTTTTTTTTTTTATTTATTATTATTTTTTTTTTTTTTATTAATTTTTGTTTGTTTATTTATTTCATTATTTATTTATTTTTTATTTATTTTTTTTATTTATTTTTTTTTATTTATTTTTTTTTTATTTATTTACTTATTTTTTTATTATTATTTGTTTTTTTTTTTTATACTTTTCTTCAGATGATGGCGATGACACCGAATTGGCGACTTTAGTGGAAACGGTGCGCAGCTCACAACAACAGAGTGTGCTTGCAATTTCCCGAACGCAAATGCAGCAACGTCGTAAACATCCACGTAAGCCGATGAAACGCGTACAATTGGAAAAACCATTGAACGTTTAACTTGCCGAAATTATTCGCCGAGACAAACGCTATTGCTGCTCAATGATCTCCTACTAAGAATTAGGCAATGTTTGTGGCAAATTGAAAGTCTGCAATATATAAGTTAAGTGTTTCATTTTTAAGGCGCATGGACAACAATGACAACAACAATAGCGCATACTACGCAGCAGTCATACATAATTCAGCATATAGTAATTTGTATTTTTTGTTAAAATTAATTGTAAAACTAAATCAAAGATGACAGCGCATATATATATGTATATATATATATATATATAAATTATATTTTTTTATACTTCCGTTTGTAAATGTCTTAAAAGAGCGTAGATTGCATAAACTTACAAAACGCATTTTATGTAAATAAAATATTTAGAGTAGCACATAATAATCATATATTTTAACATAAGAGAATTTAGCGTACACATTATTTTTTACGAATAATACATTTATAAGCGACTTAAAAACTTAAAGCAAACACATTTAAAAAAAAAATACTTTCAGTTTTTATTTTCTATATTTATGCCTAATCAATTAGTTTTATTTTGATTAAGTATGTTTTTTAGTTTAGAAAAATGTTTTGATATTTGTTTTTATGGTGCAAAATTATAACTTTAATATTTTTTGTTAAGTTGTTTTTTAACATGAAAAAGCTTAAAATATCTTTTATAACAATTGTTACATATAAAGTGCTTCTGAGTGCTGTTTGTTGGCGATTTTTGTTTTTTAATGTAGTCTAACGTTTCGTTGATTTTTACCAGTGCAAAAAAAAAAACCATTTATAGTTTTTCAAATGCATTTATTATTTTTCAAAACCCTTTTCTTTTTTCCAAAGCCCTTTTTCCAAATCATTTTTTTTAAACCATTTATTACCATCAAAACCATTTTTTTTTTCAAAACCCTTGTCTTTTTTCCAAAACCTTTTTTCCAAATCATTTTTGTTTTTCAAAATCATTTATTTTTCTACAACTATTAATTTTTTTAAACCATTAATTTCTTTCAAAACTATTTTTCTTCTTCAAAAAAAATATTATATAATATTTGTTTTCAAAACCATATATTTTTTTTCAAAACCATATATTTTTTTTCAAAACTATATATTTTTTTTCAAAACCATATATTTTTTTTCAAAACCATTTTTTTCAAAACCATTTTTTTTCAAACCTGTGTTTTTCAAAACCGTCTTTTTTCCAAAACCATTTATTTTCAAAACCATTAATTTGTTTCAAAACCATTTTTCTTCTAAGCCATAATTTGTTTTCAACCCCTTTTTTTTGCAAAACCAGTTGTTTGTTTGCAAACCATTTTTTTGTTTTACCAGTTTTGTTGTCAATATCCTTTTTCAAAACCGTTTTTTATATTTCAAAACCGTTTTTTATGTTTCAAAACCGTTTTTTATATTTCAAAACC